TGTGAAATGCATTTATATTTGCATAATTTTGTATGATTTCTAAAAAGTTAATTAAATAGAAAAGGCTTACATTATTAAGCCTTGCAGTTTTATTATTCTGAAAAACTACGAATCACTCACAGATCTAATTCAATACAAATTTAGCATATATCATAAATAATTCATATGATTTAAATTGATACATTGAATTAAAGAATTCTTAAATTTACTTAATTATTATTGAAATACAAGCATCGATGAATTTAAGTGAATTAAAAAATTTAAAATATTTCGTTTTATTTAATCTTTAATGCCCATTTTTTTATTAACGCAGATTAAATTTAATTTATTTTTTATCTTTTTCTAACTTTTAAATCTAGAAAAAGATAAAGTAAGTAAGATTAATTAATTTACATTGATAAAAATGAAAAAGATGTGTGAAAGAAAAATATATATATATTGTATACGAGAAAGGATTTTTATCAAATGCGATTGTTATAACATTCTACTATGGATTTTATACATCTAGTCTCTCACCTGGCGAAATAGTTGGCAACCCCAAGAGGGTCGTGACAAATGTAAACAGGAGCACTATACTAAGAACACGAGCTGCCATGATGAGAGGATTCGATGTTCCCAGGATGCACTGCATGCCGATCCTTTAATCTTACCGCTTTTATAGTCATCTATCCAATACGCGTTTGATCCTGATGTAATTATGTAACGTACCACCTCCATCGCTCTCCTCCACGTATTGCACGTCGCGTCGTGTCGAGCGGCCGATGCTATTTTTTGGATTTTCCGGGGGAATACCCGTTAATGCGCACGTGTACGCGTGCCCCGAAACATTTTTCTTCGAGAAGATCGCAATCGTATGCGTCAGCGAGAACACACGATGAAAAGATGAACAGATAGGAATATTGAAAACAATGAACTTGATAATTTGACGTATGGTCTGTATAATTTCTGGGAGCGATTATTCATCTTGTGGTTTTCCATTGTTAATCAACAAAATTTGAACAGTGAACTCTTTCTAACATATCGAGTTTAAAAATGTACATATATGTACATTTATGTACATATGTACATTTATGTACATATATGTACATATATGTACATCTTTTTATTATTAATGTTAATTTTATTTATAATACAAAATTATTTATGTTATAAATTATTATTAAATATAATATAAATATTAATGATAACAAAATAGATGTGTAAGATGTAAAAATTAATAAAATAAAAATTAATTCGTCAGTTAGCTTCTTCCTTATTGTTTTCAAGATGTTAAGCTATAAGGAAAAATATTAGGAAAGAATGAAGATCATTAAAGAGCTACTAAAATATGTTAATAAACGACTACTGAGAAATTGCATCAACTGGTAATTATCGAACGATGTTTTATGCAGAATATATAAAAATGAAGAATACATACATTACACATAAGTCTCATTAACCTGTTAAAGAATTTTCTTTTTGTGCGTTTTTTTTTTGTGTGTTATTATTAGATTTATTGTATTTTATGTATTTTAATGTACACTTAGTCTTCAGTAAGCGTAGCAATGTCACGTCATGTATTCTGATTAGTAGCGAAATGATTCCCCGACATCAGGCTGTTATTGTAATCAAATAGTTTCCATACATTAAACATGAAATGATGCTCGCTAGGATTTCCCAACTCGAGCTATATCTTTTCATAATTAGCTGCGTTAAAATAGCTACATACGCTCTCGACATACCTAACAGATCTACGTTTAGTCACAAAATATCATGAGATCTTTTTAAAATGTGATTCTATGACTTCATGACAAAAATTAATTAAAAATTTTTCTGAATTGGTTTTATTAAAAAATTATTAATATGTTAATTTTAAAACAACCAACATTGTTTCTATCTATTTTGTACTTTAATATTTCTTATAAATTAGTATATGTGTTTTACAATAATTAGCATTTGTGCGTTTTAGAATGATGATCAAGTTGCACATGCAAATTAACCATTCGGTTAATATTTTTCGTTTTCTTCTCAACGCTGCGGTTAAATCCGTTACAATCACGTTATTGCGTGTCAAATTTGCTTATGTGTAAATTTTCGCATATCCTATCATCGATCACGAACACATCATCTTACTTATAAAAACATCGATACAAGTTTCCAAGTATCTTGAGCGGGTACATGATGTAACTAACATCGTATATTTTTCGAGATTTAATAGCAAAAATGTATTCTAATATGTATTTTTTATAGCGATCGATAATTATGTATAGATCTCTGTTAAGTCGCATTTTATAATTTACGATTGCGTTTTATGTAAAATGGTAGTAAACAAGTTATAAGCAGTCATTATTATGAGCAATAAGATAGCATAACATTAATTTTTAATTGTAATACAGCGGACATTTCTCTCTCTCTCTCTCTCTCTCTCTCTCGCTTTCTATTTCTCAATTAATAACGCTATAACAAAAATTATTATATATAGTATCATCGAAGTGATGCTGTTTTTTTATATTATTAAATAATATTAAATTGTTTATATGTCATTCTTATCACCGCTTTTTACATATCATGAAAGTTACATCGTGTGTGTATCGAAAATATATCTTTT